CAGCAGAACCTTCAGCAGAACCTTCAGCAGAACCTTCAGTAGAACCTTTGGTTTCTAACTGGTTCTCTGATCCAGATGTTCAGCAGCTGTTTAAATCAATCCTGAGGGAAGAAGCTGAAACTAGAAGATTGTAAAGTGAGATGATGATGATGATGATGATGATGATGATGATGATGATGATGATGATGATGATGATGATGATGAGGATGGTGATGATGATGATGATGATGATGATGAACTCTGACATGTTTAGTTGGGATCAGAACTTGGTTCTGGTTCTGTGGAGGTCCAGTTAGCAGCTGGACTTCCTGCTGGTTCCTCTGGTTCCTCAGTGGTTCTGGCGGCTGCAGCATCTGGACCGATTCGGTTCGGATGGACTGAACTGGGTCCAGATGAAGCAGCGGGAGTTGAACCAGCGAGGCTGAAGCAAGGCAGCAGCTGAGCTGGTTCTGCTGGTTCGGTTCCGGTGGTCCACTGTGGTCCACTCAGCCCACCGGACCGGACCGATACTCACCGAACTTTGGCGGAGCAGAAGGCATCAGTCCTCAGGTTCCTCTTCTTGGACCCAGCGGCTCCCATCCTGAAGAGGAGCAGAACCAGAGGAGCAGAACCGGAACCAGAACCAGAACATCCCACAGACTGACTGAAGGGAAACAATCGGAACCGGACCCCATCCGAACCCAGCGGACCTGGAGCGGACTGCTGAGCGGCTCTGTCTCCGAAGCTGCTTCCAGGCAGGAAGTCTGACCATATAAGGAAAGGCGCTGCGTGACACGCACAGGCGCGGGGAGGGCAGCTGCTGCGGAGCCCTGACTCCAGCGGAACCGGTTCGACCCATTTTCCTCTTCCTGGACCCACATTTCTCCTTCAGTCACAAACTTTGTTCTTAAAACCTGGAAGCTGAAGATGAAAAGCAGCAGAAATAGACCGAACAGACTAAACCTGATCTAACATGTCCTTCAGGTTCACACCAGGACATTATATGAAAGCCAACAACAAAAAACACTTTATAGAAAATAACTTTGCTTTTGTCCATAAATGTTTCCCCTCTGAGGCTCTGAAGGTTCATCTGGGTTCTGCATGGTCCAACATGGCGTCACAAACCTAAAAAAGTTTAAGACTGGAGAATCTTTCAGCTTTACATTTAAATATAAAAACTTTATTTTCTGAGAATGTGTTTATTTATGAGCAACTATGCAAATGAACAAACATCTAGAAAAACTTGAATATATTCTATTATTTTCCATATTATTTTCTAATAAGTGCTTTAAATCAGTCCTATCCATGCTGAGCAACAAACAAACAAAATCTGTTAATTAAATTTTTTAAAAATCTGTTTCATTAAACTTTATTTGTTGTGATATTTGAACCTTATATCAATCCACTTTATTCATAATTTAAACAGCTGTTCATTAATTTTAACACATTTAACTCCTGCTTTGATTTGAAAACAGATCAGGGGGAAGAATGAGGCACGGAAACTAGAAACTGTCCTTATTTTACAGTTTAATCTTAATTATTCACTCATTTCTATTTTACCAAGACAAAAATAACTAAATGATCATTTCACAAATAAACAACATACAATAGTTAGAGTGGATCCACAACTACAGACAACATATAAAACAAACAAAACACAAAAAAGTGGCCATAATATAAAACTTTCTTTTTAGAAAGACTATTCTTGCCCGAGTGTTTCGGTCCAGCTGTGCCTGCCAGACTGTTCCTCTCCGACTGTGTCTGTCAAAGTGTTCCTGCCCAGCTGTCCATNAATGTGTCTGTCCGACTGTTCCTGCCCAGCTGTCCATGTCCAAATGTGTCTGTCCGACTGTTCCTGCCCAGCTGTTAATGTCTGACTGTGTCTGTCTGACTGTTTCTTTCCAGCTTTTCCTGTCCAGCTGTCCATTCTTGTCAGGCAGTGTCTGTCCAATTGTTCCTGTACAGCTGTTCATGTTCAACTATGTCTGTCCGACTGTTCCTGTACAGCTGTTCATGTCTGACTTTGTCTGTCTGACTGTTCCTGCCCACCTGTTCTTTCCCGACTTTTCCTGCCCAGCTGTTTCTTTTTCCAGCTGTTCCTGCTCAGCTTTTCCTTTGTGACTGTTTCTGTCCAACTGTTCCTGTCCAGGTTTTCCTGTCCACTTGTTCCTGTCCAGCTGTTCCTTTCCAGATGTTCCTTCCAGCTGTTCCTGTCTAACTGTACTTGTCCAGCTGTTTCTGTCCAACTGTTCCTCTTTAACTGTTCCTGTCCTTTTGTTAATGTTCGACTGTTTCTGTCCGACTGTTACTATACGACTGTTCCTCTAACTCTTCCTGTCCAGCTGATCCTGTATGGCTGTTCCTGTCCAGATGTTTCTTCCAGCTGTTCCTGTCTAACTGTTCCTCTCCAGATGTTTCTTCCAGCTGTTCCTCTCTAACTGTTCCTGTCTAACTGTTCCTCTCTAACTGTTCCTCTCTAACTGTTCCTGTCCAGCTGATCCTGCCCTGCTGATTCTGTCCTTTTGTTAATGTTCGACTGTTTCTGTCCGACTGTTCCTGCCTTTAAGCTGAAATCAGCCCTCCAGCCACTGGCAGCTCATATAAACTGACTAAAAGGTTTAGAATAGTAAACAATGGAAACCTCAGAACTCACTGGTCCATCCTCTGGTTGTACGGTGACATTAATTCATCATCTGTAGTCTGATACATGTTTGGATGACTTGTTCTCCAGGAAGCACCGACCCAGGAGCAGCCAGGAGGTTAGTGGGACGTTAAACTGATGACATTTTAAGTTCGTTTATGAGACGTTCTTCTAGAAACTTCCTACTAGCAGGAAACTACAGTGAGGAACGTGGATGAGAAGCATGGCAGAGAACGGTCTGACTGTGTGCAACACGGTGGGATATTAGGATGGTTTAAGCCCCTGATGATGAGAGTGTTTATCTCCTCCCCCATTGATCAAATGCTAGTTATGTACTGGTTATTAACTGGTTAGTCTGGGTGTCTGACTGGTCCATCATCTTTGTTTTCATTCGATCCTCTTCAAGCTGCAAATCAACCATCAGATGTTTCTGCTGTCAGTCGGTCTGATGGTAGATACACACCTGGATCCACACACACAGGTAGTCCATGGCGGTGTGCGTGCGGCGGCTTACCGTCTGCTGCATTCATCCCATAAACATTCATGTTCTATTCTTTCTGCCTCCAGCACTGCTCTGCGTTTCTATGCCGTCGTGATAAATTAGGAAAACCTGATTCCAGCTTCTTTCTGTGGACAATGATTCTCACGGCAGCACTCTTCCCTCTGAAGGTCACTTCCTCCTGGGATAAACAGTACGGCCTGGTCTGATGTTTGCCTGGACCGTCCTTCAGCTACAGAGGGTTGGAGCGTCCATCTTTTCCCAGCAGCACCATCTGTCCAGCAGCTCCCTCTTTATCTGCGTTTGACTCACCATGTCTGAACTATGAGCTCTCCCTCAGCTCAGCCTGATTATTCTTTGTTGTGGTTTAATATTTCCAGAAAATGTGTTTTTTTGGTCGTCGTCTCTTTCGTGTTTCTCCTTGTTTCATCTAAAGTAACGTTAGTTCCAGACCAGTGTCCATCGCTCCCTGGAATATTCCAGGGATGCATTTATCTGATTCATCCGATCGTATTGCTTTCCTTGGACCAGACAGAGGCCCTTCCAGGGTGTCCTGTCTCTGTTCAGTGGGTAGACTGGGATCACATGTCAGTTGGTGCTACAGTTAATCAGGAACATATTGTTGTTGGAAACAGAAAGCCTTCATTATGGATCTGAATCTCATCTCCTCTTCATCTGTAACTGAATCATCCTCCTGTCGGTTACCGTGGCGTCGGCCGTTACGTCCTCACTGAACATCCTGCTAACAGAGCAACTGATTTAGTCAGAGGCGCTGTATGGGGGGGGAGTAAGGACAATCCTAAGGGCCCTTGACTGAGGGGGGGCAAAAGAAGAAGAAAAGATTAGTCCCGCTATATTTTTCAAATAAAGATCATGTTGTCTTTCATTTTTCAGCAGTAAACAGTGAAACAAAGCATGGATTTATAGACGCACCCCCTCCCCTCAGATTGCAATCAATAGTTTGGTCCTCAGGTCCTGCATCAGGTCTCCCCACCTGTCAGCGGCGGTTTGCTCGTACCGGGGCCTAAATGCCAAATTAACAAGAAACGTATAAATAAGCGGCGCCTAAATCTGGGTTTTAAAAAGGAAACGGAAAGATTTATTAACCGAATAGTTCAAGTTTAACTTTAATGAACTTAATCTACTGAACTAAACCTGAGCTTAGTGAGTTTCACTATTTTAGTTTAAGAGTTTTTAACTGAAATATGTTGGAGCTGAATTATTTATATTATAAAAATATCAACAGAACTTATATTTCTAATAGAATTTGTGGATAATTGATTCTAAAATGAGGTAAAGGCATTGCTGTTTTATTTACATTAAGTTTAGTTTCCCTGTATGAGAATATTTTTTTAATTAGTTTATTTAACCTGGTGCGTCTGGGATGAATAAAGGAATAATTATGTTTCTCCTAATTACACTGATCAGATTTCATGTTGTGTGGAATTTTCCTCTGATTGTTGCTTTTTCTGCTCTTCACTTGCTCCTTGGTAGCAGTGATGAAGATCAGCTCCTCCTCCTCAGAGGGCCTTCCTGCCTGATGTGGGTCATCAACCATGGTGGGGATCAAAGATCTGGCTTTACTGTTGGTCCGTCACTATCCACGCCCCAACCTGCAGAAACAGGCCAGCCCCCCCATCAGCCCGGTGGGACTGGTCCTGATGAGACGCTGCTGGACACATCTGGACACATCTGGACTTCAGACTTCATTTAGTGTCCCATACTGAAGCGAACGCATGCAGAGAAACGCATCAGGCAGGGTGATGAATATGAATGAATCTGAAGACCTTTCTGGAATTAACATCAATATTTGAAATCAAATCTGACGCTCTGATGATTTTTTTCCCATAAACTTCTGATGCCATTAAACGCATCGATCAGCTATAGAATAATAATCTCTGCCTTCAGCACCATTTATACTCTGAGTATTAATAAAGAATTTAATCTGTTTCCACAGAAGGATTAATTTATTCTCTCTAGTCAGTGTCTGCATGAAATATACATTTATAAAAGGTTCTGTTTCCATAGATCCTTTTATAAACAGCATTTTATTAGCATATAGATTTTATAACTAATAATCATTCATTCGTTTTACCCTCGATTAGACAATTAACTACAGTTTCCAGTTGTTTAATATATGCATCATGTTCTGGTAAAATTACTCAATATTAATTAATTACCAGGCTGTATATTATCTACATCCATTTGAAGGACATGACTCGTCTTTAAGAGCTTGTTTTAGATCACAGAGGAAAAGAAGGGAAGTTGAAGGATGTTCCTGGAAAGGCAGGAACTGATGTGGTTGGCAGAGTTCCAGAGTTAGACGATTTATAATAACGTTAAAGCAGGACGAGCCAAGGTTAGAATCTCCCTTCTAACGCGTTGAAGGGCAGAGATGAAGAGAATGAAGTAATGCTGTGTGATATTCAGGTCTGTTCCGCCTGCTTTTATTGCTCTTAACGTTTATTAGAAACAAGCTGCTGTTAGAGGATGACATAAAGCTGGTCTGTTCTTCCAGCTAGAAACACATTGATTCTTTTAGAACGTCCAGATTCACATTTCTCCTCTAAAATAGGATAAATGAATGAGTTTCCTGAAGCGATGGAACAGCAGAAATGCCCGTCCATGCTGAGGTTTCCTCATTATTTATCAGCCGTATTCATTCATGTTTCTGCTCATGGGCTTAAAGGCCCGTCACTCCAGCCAAACGAAGCTTCTAACCAGACAAAGATGGACAACCAACCTGCTTTCTGTCAGCATCCTTCTACTAACGTACCTCCATCTGCTCTCTTTCTAGGTCTGCTCAGGGAAAGGAGTCACTTTGTGGCATGTTTGGTTCCTTTAGAGGAAATTTAGGTCAGGATGATCTGGACTGCGTCTCCTGAGACCAACCTGAGGACTCCAAGTTGGTCCCTTCTGTTGCACTTCCAGAGAAAAACAAAGACCGAAGGCTCGCTGCCGGCAATAATCAGGAAGAAATCTGGTAATCCACAGAAAAATGATGTATTCTAATAAAGTTACACTGAAAAAGACAACAAATAAACATCTATTGATGTTTCTGTATGCTTCTAACCATCTAAACACTGACCTCATGCTCTTACCTTCAGGTCCCTCTAGTCCTACTGTCAGCAGAAAGCTGCTCCAGGTTTATCTGGTCGCTCAGTCTGTTCCTCAGCTCTTCACGTTACACACAAGCTGGGATAAATATATGCAGGAAAATGCCTAAAAGGACAAAAAGCAAAGAGTTAGAGGGAAAAAGCCAAATGCCAGAAGAAGAGGACCCAGTATCCGAGGTGGAAACGTTAAGCAGTGGACACCATCTAAGGCAGGAACCTCTGGTCCTATAGTTCAGTCCCTGCCAAGAAGGTGAGGTTGGTTCCAACCAATCGCCTGCCAAGGAGACGCAGCGGGCGCCGCCCACAGAGTCCCAGATGCCGATGTCTCAGAGATCAGCGGACAGGCAGTAGACCTAGTCTCAGACTTAGACAAACTCTACTGTCATTTTGTAAACACAGAGTTTATACAAAACTGAATTTCGATGCATACTGCTTTTCAACAGGGAATGAGCAGCTTAGTGGTGAAAAATGAACATTTCCATTTATACAGCGCAGCAGTGAACAGAGTGGGAGAGACATGGTGCAAAAGGCATTAGTGTGGAAGGGTTAGAGCAGTCAGGGAAGTCTGAGAAGCCGGGTTAGAGAGGAGTGGTCAGTGCACAGGAGGGACGAAGACGAAGACAACGCCCAGCAGCTCTCGACGGGAGACACAGTAGTTCTTTTCTGGTCGACCGAGGGAGCAGCTGCAGTAGATGATGACTTGTTCAACATGCTCTCTTTCCTGGGGCAGCGCTTCACCAAGTCCAACCCTGCTGGTGTCAGTGTCCACGATGAATGGCCGTCCAGGATTTGGGTAATCCAGCACAGGAGCCCTGATGAGTGCTGACCAGAGCTGTATGAAAGCAGTTGCACAATCCTCGTCTCCCTGGGATGCATGGCCCTTCTAGGTCAGCTGATGCTGGGGGCTAGCAATAGTGGCAAAGTAATACACAAACCCCCGATAATAGGAGGCCAGGCTCATAAAGCTGGACAGCTCCCCAGCATGATGAGGCACAGGCCAGTCCCTCACCGCAGACACCTTTGCTGGGTCTGTGGACACCCCTCCTATACTGACCATGTGACCTAAGAAAGATGTCTCCTGCTGAAACAGGTGAAACTTTTCAGGGTGAAGACGTGGGCCTGACGGGCGGATGGCTTGAAAGATGTCCCTCAGGTAGGACAAGGCTCCCTCAAAGTCTGGAGGATGGGCAAGGAGGTCATCCAGATACGAAATGCAGTGGCTCTGGGAAATACAGGACCCTCTCCATCAGGTGCTCGGAAGATGGCCGGAGCATTGCAGAGGCCAAAGGGCAGGACTCTGAACTGCCGAAGGGCTTGACCAATGGAGAATGCAGTGCAACGTCAATCTGGGACAGTGGATAGTCAACCCAGAACTGCCAGGGACCAAAGCAATAGGGCCGCCCAGGGGCTACTGGATGGTTTGAAGATGTCTGCCTCTAATATCTCTCTGACGTTCAGTCCTTCTCCAGCCTGTTTGGCAAAGCACTTACGGCGAGTTTCGGAGGATGGTCGGGTGTGCCTCACCTGTGTCGATGTTGTGCTGTACCAGGCTGGTGTGGGTATAATCTTCATCTCTGGCTGTGAAGATGTCGACAAATAATTGATGCAGCCGTTGCTTTTCATCCAACCCTTCACAGTTTCTTTGATACAAAATGTCAGCAGCCTCTCTAGACTTGAGGGAGGGTTGTTGATAGATCTGCAACATTCTGGTGCCTCAAGTTGCCAGCAGATTGCAGGACCCTCTGGTGATGGTGATAGTGCAGCTCAAATTGGTGATGATGATGTGGACTCCTTGGGTGGCATGGATGTTGGTGGGGTCCTGGTGGGTGGTGGTGTTGAAGACCCTCTGATTGGTGATGATGCAGGAGAGGAATGTTGGAGTGCTTTGGAACGCAGGTAGAGTGGGCCTGGATATGGCAACAGCAGTTTGTTGTGTTTTAAGATGTTTATTGCCCTCCCCTGAGTGTGGAGGTGGAGGAGGGGGGGTATCTTATTTAATGATATATTATTTCAGCTGTTATATATTGTTTATGAACACATGTCCTACTAGCTGTGTGTTAGAACGGATATAAGAACAGCAACTGGCAGCTTCTAATATCCAACATGCTGCCCAGTGCATGCTGGGAAAACGCACTCCAGCCGCCCCAACACACTACATTACTTTAAGTATCAATTTCTTTTGAATTAAAGGTTTTGTTGTAATCAATATAACAGTTAGTTTCTGTTCTTTTTATCCCAGCAGGTTCATCAAAGAATTAATGGTTTTTAAGTGTTTGGCTCACATGCAGATCACACTCAGGAGGCAAAGGCAGTTTTAAGCGTTTTATTAAACACACAGACTGATGAAGGAGGCAGGACGCGTAACCAGAGCCTGTTTGATGTATGGATGACAGGTAGTGGTTAGAAATGACACACGGTGAAGAAGGGGTGAGAGAGAGAGAGCGCTAACCTCCGAGCCCGGGAGCCTGTAAGGGGGAGTGAAGCAGAGGAACGGATCCAGAAGATGGTTCCCTGTGATGACAGAGGTGACCAAGCGGCTGATGGGCCGACCAGAGGAGCGTGACCCGAGTAGCATTGAAGCGGTGATCCGAGTTCGGCTTGAGGAACCAAGGGAGAACCAAAGGAGTCCCTAGTCCGGCTGGTAACACCAAGGGGACCTTGGATTGGGATCCCAGAAAGAAGCAGAGGTGAGCTTGACTTGAAGCGACAGAGCATGCAGGAACAAATGCTGGATCCAAGGTGTGAAGCAACATGAGAAACAAGTTTTACTTTACGATTCATGAAAACTGTCAGAAGACAGTGGCCAACTGAGGCGCACCACTCTGGGTTTACACTCTGGCGTCCTCCAGTTGTCAGATCGCTGAAATGCTCCAGAGTAACGCTGCTGAACGAGCAGCAGGTGTGCACCACGCCCACCTGCCAAACACCTGTGCAGACAGCAGAGAAGGCAGGGGTGGCTGGTAACTGCCATCAACATGCTTGATGTTCTTGAAGAAAGGAGTCTGTAAACCAATGAATCTCCTAAACATCAGTCTGACTCATTAGCAAAGAAAAATCGTGTTTCCTACAGTTTTTCCCTGAGTTTTTCTTTCCAGCTGTTTTCAGCAGTCTGAGCATCAGACTCTATGAAAGGCTGCTTTAGTTGGTGAATCTACTATTTACAGTAACCTACAACAAATGAGGGAAAATAAGGAAAACTTTTTCATCCTCAGAAACTGACAGGGAAATCTGGAAAAAAGAAACAATAAAGCAGTTCTGTGATTCGACCAATTGCCCCATTCTAGAGCTTTTAAATGAGCTTTTTATGCTTTTCTTCTGCAGACGAAGGTTTGACGTCATAAAGTCTCTTCAGTCCAAAAGAGCCCAGGAAAAATTTCTGAATGCAGCTCCCATGTCAGAGGATGAAGGGAGCACATCCAGTTAGTCACAGTCAGAGAAACAG